GCTTCTCTATAAAATGGCACCTCTAACACCTCAGGCGCCAGCTCTCTGTAAAATGGTGCCTCTCGCGCTAGGATGCTAAAAAAAATCCATTTTGGCTCCAAATTTTCTCTTTTTTGCTACTTTTTGCTTCAAATGCCTAAAATCAATATACCTGCAACAAAACATGAAAATAATCTTCTTTAAAGTGAAATATCACCAAATTTAAACATAAAATGAATACATAAAATTGTACATTATTTTGGTGTATCAGTAGGGGGCAAAGCACTTGGTACTGATAGCACCGCCTAACATATTCCTTGCAATCAAGGGTCATTAAAGATCAATAATTGCCAATCTGATTAATTTTTATTTTCATCTTTAAACCTGATTGATGGGACCCAAAAATGCCTGCATGAACTCTAGCCATGATCTTTTTGGCTTCATTCATATTGACCTATCAAAGCCACATATGATCAATAGAGCAAATATACACATATGATCAATAGAACATATGATCATAATAATAAATGGAGTGCACTCCTTTGAATTTGAGAGGCCAAGGAGCGATCATTGAGGAGCATTCCCTTTGTCAAATATGTGATGAAGACTTGGTGATAATCAACATATGACTCATCAAAAGCGTAAGGAATTATGCTTTTATCACCCAACAGGGAGGCTTCTGAAGTGCTAATAAGAGCTGATAACAAATCACTTCCATTTTGTATCACTATTGTCATATGATTCTTAATAGAACTAGATAGTTTTTTGGCTAGCTTTGCAAGAACGTTGGCTTTGCCATTGAGGTAATGAGGTATTTTGATCAAAGTCACATTAAGAATGTGCTCTAGCAATGCCATGAATCTTTTATGATATACTAAGAGATCAAGCTCGAGGACTTTATACGCCCCCAATACTTGGCTGATTATGAGTTGTCAGTCTCCTTATACTTTAATGTTTTTGGTAGTCATATGGATGACAATTTCCAAGTCAAGAATCAAGTCTTCATGATCTACCTAGTTATTCATAAATAGTTTTGTCAAGATATAAAAATAGTGAAGAATACCCTGCTTTGGGGATACGAAGATCAATCTGATCCCTATTTGTACTTTTAAGAGAGATCCTTATGGTCCTTGCTTCGAGGAAGATACCCCATTAAATTATAATTCCCACTCAAGAGATTTGAAGGCCAAAAAGTGCTCATCGAGAAACTCATCGGTCAACTGCGAATCAATAAGGAATCAAGTGAGATGCTAGAAAGTTAACCAAAGCCTACCATTTGACTCTTCGCTGAGGGACACATGAAACACTAAACTGTGATAGCATCATGGTCTATCTAGCTAATCGTCCAACCAATGTAGGATGAGTCATCAAGTACTTTAGGAGCTATACCCTTGAGATAACATTAATATGATGTGTGAGAATGTAATTCCTCAATTTATGAACTAAAAATATCAATGCCAGATAATTTTTCCCGATTGGCAGATACTTAATTTCAGTGGGGATGAAACATCGACTAAGATAGTATAAGATGTTATAATACTCTTCAATTTTAACTGGAGCTAAAAACACCGCCACTGACTCATCTAGTGCGACAGTTACATATTGGTCAGTTTACATGGATAGAACATTACATAGATTTACAAAATAAACATGAGCATGGGCTAAGCTAACATAAAAAATGGAGAAGATCACATAGGGTTAAACATGGATCATGAATTGAATTAATATAGGTAAACATAGTGATTGATTTTTTTCAATAAAACATAGGTCTATTTTGTCTGAAGTAAACATGCAATTTTTATGTATCATAATTTTATAACCTGCACACTTATACATGTTCATGCATACACATATCAATACATAAACATACAAACCTGCATAAACATATACTTATACTTGCATAAACATATACTTATACTAACATATCTCCACTAACCTTCTTCTACCCTCTCCTCCCCTCCCATCTTAGTATATTTTACTTCTTTGTTTTAAAAATTGGGTACGGTAAAAGAGCACCTTAGGTGAGTGGGTTAATGGGTAAAATAGATAAATTAATGACTTAATAGGTTAATTGGTTGCTTAATGAGTTATTAAATACTTAATGAGTTGGCTTATGCATTAGTGATTTAATTAAGATGTTAATAGGTTAATAAATGAGTTGGCGAGTAAATTAAGGAGTGAATGAGTTAATTAGTGTGATAATAGGTTGAATACTGGCTTGATTAGTTAATTAATTAGTTTATTAAAGGTGTTAATTGGTTTAATTAGTATGTTTATTGGTTCATTAATAAGTTAATTAATTACTTAAAGTGTTAACTGAGTTAATTAATGTGTTGATTAATGTATAAGTCGTTGACATGATATTTTAATGTGTTAGTGCTCCGTTTAGGAGGGTAAATGAGGATTATTGCTTGGTTAGAAGGAGTTTAGTGCATTAGTGCTAGGCTAGGAGGAGCTTTGTGGATTAAAATTTGGATTAGGGCGAGCTTAATTCAATTAATATCGGATAGGATGGGTTTAGTGAAATTATGATAGGTTATGGTGGGGACTGATAGATTATGGTGGGGAAATGGGATTAATGTCAAAGTTTTGATGATTTAAGTGGAGTTTTGTAAGTTTAGATTAGGTTTTGAATAGATTATTGAGTTAATGTTTTAATTAGGGCGAGTTTAGTGGCTTTGAAGTTTTGACCAGGTGACTTTAGGGTGCTAGGGTTTTGACCAAGAAGATAAAGGAAGGAGAAAAGAAAAAATGAACAAAAATTCGATGATTTACCATGACATACACATAATACAATGCAAAGGGAAGAGAAGCCCGATGATTTACAATGTAAAATAATAATAATAATAATAATAATAATAATAATAATAATAATAATAGTAATAATAATAATAATAATAATAATAGTAATAATAATAATAATAATAATAATAGTAATAATAATAATAATAATAATAATAGTAATAATAATAATAATAATAATAATAATAATAATAATAATAATAATAATAATTAACATCATAACCTAATTCATGAACTAACATTAATTCCATGGTTAATTTTCATGTAACCTTTGAATTAGAGAGAGATGATTTCATGGTTTTAATTTCATGCAAAGTTATTGAATATAAATGGTAAGATGGTGTGCAAATTTACTTTTCTTTCTATTGGTGATCTTTTTACTTTTCATGGATCTCCCTTGCTTGATTTTGTGGTGGAAAGATGATGGAGGCTCTGGGTTTAATGGTGGAAAAGTGGTGGATGAGGAGAGGAAAACCAAGAGGGAGAAGTGAGAAGGAGGATTTTGGTCAAGAGAGTGGAATCACGACTTAGGAGTGGTTTGGGGTAGGTTTTGAGAGAGTGAGGATGTTATGAAGGAGCTTGGAGGCAAAGAGAGTTAAGGGATTTGGGGAAAATTTCAAATGAGGGACATGGAGGGAGATTTTAGAAAAAATGAGGGTATTTTGTGATTTGGCAAATTATGGTAGTTATGGTAGTTGTGGAAAAATTACAAGTGAGCCTCATTTTGAGGATAATAAGAAATCCAATGGTTCAATCCATTTTGAAAACAGAGCTTGCTAATGTGACCAATTAAAGTGGCTAGGTGGTTACAAGAAGGTTGGAAGTTGGTTATGGTAAAAAAAATTGACTTTAGCTCCTTTGATGGAGAAAAATACAGGTGAAAGTTAAGTTAGTGAAAGAATGAAGTTATGTTAGTGAAAGTGTGTCCAAACCATTAGGATAGAGGAAATTAAAATTTTGAGTTTGAATTTTTTAATAATTTTACTGGTCCAAATTGTGTATATATAAATTTAAAACTACTTTTATTGAAATTCCAAGTTTATTTGGAGGCATTTAAAGGTGGTTATGGTCAAATTACATTTAATTATCAAAAGTATCACTTTTCCTCTCTCCTGATTATTGTCGGCTAAACGAGCCTCTAAATGGAGTCAAAATTAGGTGAAGAGAAACTCAATTGAAAGTTTTCGATGATACAGATGTAATGATGAAGTCCATTTTAAAAAAAATAATGATTTATTAAATTTTTTTTAGCACAATTTTATGTAAAAATGATGTTCAATGACCACCAAACTAGTTTGCATGGTCTTCATGTGTTTATGAAGAACACACAACTTACAAAATATAATTTTAATCACCAGATTGATATCTGTAGAAAAAAGATAATTTTAGGGTTGTGACGAAGCTATTGATGCATGAAAATTTGAATTGAAGAGTTTTACATAAAAAATATTTCAAAGGATGATCGAATTTCTTGTATGGTATTTACATATAATAATAAGTCTCATGCAACTTTCAAAGTGAACTTCAGTTCTACAATGATTTTGAAAAAGAATTCAATAATCTAAACTTTAGTGATTAAGATCGTTTTTAGAACTATCTTTGAGTTTGGTTAAAATCGATTGTTTGAAAATTATTTTGAGTTAATTTCGACTTTTATTAAGTTTAAATACAATTTTTTAAATTTGGCTTTGCTCACCTCACGACTAAGCTCAAGTGAAGTCTAATTATGCTTAAGCCAGAGAAATGAGTTTGACCAAAAAAGAGGTCAACATGATGTATATCATTCAAATAGTGCTTGCCACTAAAATAATTTTTTAAATAATAGGATTAATAATTTTATATAGCACTTTCTTTCTATTAAAACAAAAATATTTCACATATTTTTCATTTTCACTTGTGCATCAATCATGAAGCATCCATGTGGAAAACATGTACATCCATATTGTGTTTGCACTAGATCTATAATTATTGAGGAAAGAAAAATGAAGTTAATAAACTCGTAAGAAAATGTCAAATTGATTTAATATTAAAATAACTCATATCTGATGAACAGGCTCATCCAAGAAAATTAAAATGTAATATATTTAAAATATATTTAAATTTAATAATTGAATTATTAAAGTATTCAAAAATTAATTTTCCCTTGTTATCTAAAACCCTTTTATTTATCTTTCATGTATTTTTTCCCGAATCAGACGACCAATTTGGACGCCGCCCCTGAAAAAGGTTGAATTTTGAAGCCTCGAACCCATCCGCGTCTTTCAAATAAAGGAGAGGCGACTTTTCTTTGGAAAGAGCCGAACTTGCTTCTAATAGCAGAATGGAGAATCCGAAGCCTGAGGAGGTGAAGTTAGCCAGCGACCCGCCGGTGCGGGTTTACGCCGATGGCATATACGATCTCTTTCACTTTGGTCATGCTCGGGCCCTAGAGCAGGCCAAGAAGCTGTGAGGCCTTTTTCACGTCTATTCGTTTCCCCTTTGAGATGTGGACTTTGACTCTGATGATGGATAAGGCTTTCTGTTCTTGTTTGGATTTCTGTGATTTTCTTTAGTTGCTCCTCTGTGGCAGATATGATTAATTCTGTGTGTTAAGGAGTTTGCTTCTATGGTTATGCTCTAGATTTCGAATAACGAATCACTTCTATTTGTTACTTTTCTGTTCTTCTTATGGGGCTGTTTGGTAGCCGCTTTTAAGCAGGATTTACGCTAAATCCCGCCAAGCGGCAAAAAAAAGTTGGCATAAATCCTACAGATTCTTAAATTCCGTTTTGCCTTCTTCCTTAAATCCGGGATGTATCAAATCCCGTAGGAACCGGAATTTACGGGATTTAGAGAAGCTAAGGCGTGTGGCAAGAGTGGGATTTGTTAATCCTTTTAAATCCTATTAAACATACCAAACAGTTTTCAGGATTTAAAACCTTCGAGATTTCATAAATCGGGATTTACAGGATTTACTAAATCCTATTCAAACTAAAACCTACCCGAAACTAAACACCCCCGGCGGGTGGTATTTTTGATGGTACTTAAAAAGATTAGTGTTGTATACATGTAATTTGGATGGATTTGGTGTTAGATTTGTAAATGGTAAGATTTTTTTGTTATGTATTTAAATCCCCTCGATATTTTAGTTGTTTGATTTGTTCTGAGAATGCATGCTGTTTTGGGGAAACTATGTTTTGTTTAGGATCCCTATGCCATCTCACTGATATAGTTAATGAAGTTGAATAGTTTAACCAATTTTGGTGAATTAAACCATCGGAACAGCTGATCAGGAACCAGAGTTTGATCTTGATTAGATAACATCAATAAAAAGATAAAAGAAAAGCCTAACTTCATTAACGAAAGAAAAACTCTGGTTCTCCGATTCTCAGGATTGTCCTGAGAATCGGAGTTTTTCTTTCATTAATGAAGTTAGGCTTTTCTTTTATCTTTTTATTGATGTTATCTTAATTTATTGAAATATAACCAAATATTATATGCTTGGACTGGAATTTTGTTATACTAATGTTTCTTTATTTGCTCAATGGTATCGATTCTTGAATACATTGTATCCAAGAAACATTTAGCCTTCAATTTTTCATTTTTTGAATAGTTATTAAGCTTTTCTCACTTAGAAATTTCACAAGTAATGAAGGAGCCAAGTTATGCTGGGCTTTACCACCTTCTAGCTTCATATTGGTATTATTAATTGAACATTTGGAATTAATTGGACTTTAGATTTAAATTAAATTTTTTGAGCCCACTTGTTTTTTTCTTAGCTCAAGTTGTCTTTCGGCATTTATCAGCTTGAATAGGTTTCAAAGGGATGATTTTGTTACATTTATCGTCCATTGCCGGGTCCCAAGCCCCGCATGTGAAAAACGGAAGGTTGCATTAGATAGTTGAGAACCAGCATAAAATTTGTCAAAACAACATAACATGAATTCTTTAGATCACTGGGTAAATGCTAGAGCGTTCCCTGGAAGTGACACCCTGTATGACCTGAATACAGTAAAAGGTGTGTAAGTGCCTCTACACTTATGCCCTGAGTGTAGTGCCAAATACGCAAGGTTTTCCACATTTGCGGATGGATACAAGTAAAGAAATTAATCCATAAAGTTAATATTAGGATAGAATTTTGAAACATAAGTACTCTGACAGGTAAATTAATTGAATTAGTTAATATGATAGTTTATAGGATAAATATTCTATATATTCAAGAAACTAAATGGGTTGGAGAAAAGGTTAAAGAGATTAATAACTTAGGTTTTAAACTTTGATATTCAGATAGGCATACTAGAAATGTAGTTGTTATAATAGAAACTGAATGTGTTATTATAGCTTAGGTTTTAAATTTTGGTATTTAGGTAGGGGTCACACTAGAAATTTTATAGATAAGAGTTTGAAAAATAATATTATAAAAATTAATAGAATTAAAGACAAAATTATATCTCTTAAGATTGTTGTTGATGATACGATTTTAAATATTGCAAGTGCTTATACACCTCAAGTAAGTTTAGATATAGATTTTAAAGAAAAAGAAGGAATGAACTAAAAATTAATACAATTGATACCTCTTGAAAAAATAATTTTAATTGGAGGAGATTTAAACGAACATGTTGGTAGAGTGATAGATTTTAGAAATATTCATGGTGTCTACGGTTTTGGAGTGATTAATGAGGAAGGTCGAGTCATATTAGATTTTATTTTAGCGTATGATTTTGTTATTGCTAATACTTTATTTAAGAAAAGTGATGAACATATTATTACTAATTAGAATAAATCTAATAAAACAAATATTGATTATTTTCTTATGAAAAGAAGAGATAGTTGAGAATGTAAAGATTTTAAGATTATTTCATGTGAGAATTTAAGTACTCAACATCGATTATTAGTTCTGAATTTTAAAATAAAGAGTTATAAGATAAGAAATACTAGAAATTATTGTCATATAATTAGATTGAGACACCTAGAAGACACAAATAAAATTATTTTGACTAGTTAACTTCAAGATTTAAAGATTTTGGATGTTCGTGAAGAAACAAATTCTATGTGGAATAAAGTAGCCAACACTATTAAATAAGTGACAAGATGTATTTGGAGAATCAAAAGGAAATTCCTATAAATAAAAATTGTTGGTGGTGAAATAATAATGTGCAAAAAAAATTAAATATAAGAAATTTTATTATAAAAACTGGTTTAAATGTAGAAGTTTAGAGAATTGAGAAAAATATAAGGTAGTCCACAGGGAGTCTAAACGAATAATTTGTGATGCTAAAAATTTAACTTTTAATGAATTTTGTAATAATGATCTTTATGGTAGATTAGATACTAAGGAGGGTGAAAATTATATGTATAAACTAGCCAAATAAGGAGAATTAAATTAGCCAAATAAGGAGAATAGAGAAGTAAAGATTTAACTCAAGTGTATTAAAGATGAAAGTTAAAAAGTACTTTTTTTAGAAAAAAGATACCCAACACAGTGGGTGAGCTGTTTTGATAAACTTTTCAATGAAGTTTCTGAAAATGCAATCGACCTTAGTGATCTTAATATCATTAATAGTAATAAAATATTTTATTTTTATTTTCGCAGTAGTGAAAAAGAAGTTCAACAGGCTTTAAAGAAAGTCAAATGTGGAAAATCAGTAGGACCTGATGATATCCCACTTGAAGTGTGAAAACATTTAGGAGATTTGAGAATTTCTAGGTTTACTAAATTCTTTAATATTGTTTTAAAAATTAACAAGATGTTTGAGAAGTGGAGGAAGAGTATTTTGGTCCTCATTTTAAAGGATAAAGGGGATGCAGCAAAGTGTGTAAATTATAAAGGAATTAAGTTTGTTAAGGATGGAGCTTGGTTCAGTCCGCCCGTTCCCGCGCACATGCGAATACTCCCGCGCCCGCTCTGTCGTGCGAACTCCCGCTCCCGTTCGCGAATGGTCGCGACTCTGCCATTCGCGAACCGCTCCTCTGTCGCGAATAGTCGCGACGTCTCCCTTTCGGTTCACGATAAAAGACATCCACACACGACTCTCCTCTTCAGTTCTAAGTCACGATTTTGTGCTCTTCTTCGGGTTTCCTCTGGACAGAGGAAGAGGATGCAAGCAGTAGTTCCTTGCGGTAGAATGAAGAAGAAAGAAGAAAAAGATTGCTCTCCCTTGGCTTCTTCTTGGTGGCTTGTGGTAGAAGAGAAATTATGTTTATTTTTCTTGTAAATTTATTTTCTTCGATATATCTCGGTGTAGAGTTTCTCCGGTGTATTTCGGTGTAGAGAGAGAAAAACAGAGAGAGATGTAGAGAGAACAATCAAGTGAGAGATTCCTCTTTCAAGTCGAGACGATCGACTGGTGTAAATTCCTCATGTAGTAAAATTCTCTGCAACTCCGTGGACGTAAGCAATTTACCGAACCACGTAAATCTCTTTGTTCTATGTGTTACTGTTTTCTGGTGTGAATTTTCTCGTTCTATTTTTCTCTTCGTCAAAGATAGTTCTTTTATTTTATTTCTATGTATATACCACAACAACTGGTATATCTCACAACAAAGTTTGTGCCATACTTTAAAATTATGGGAGAGGGTTATTGAACATAGGTTAAGACGTGTTATTAAAATTTCTCATAATCAACTTAGATTTATCCTTGGCAGGTCTACTATGGAAGCTATACATTTATTGAAAGGTTTGATTGAGAAATACAGAGAGAATAAAGAGGATCTAAATATGATTTTTATTTATTTAGAAAAAGCTTAGATTAAAGTTCTAAGAGAAATCCTTTGGATAGTTCTAGAGAAGAATGGTGTTGATATGACTTATATCCTAGTCATTAAAGATACGTATAATACAAGAGTTGTTACTTGTCTTTGAAAAGGAGGATCGACCAAAAATTTTTCTATTTCAGTTGGATTACATTAGAGATCAGATGATCTTACTGGACATTTACAGAAGGATGTACCTTGGTCTATGCTTTTTGCTGATGATATCCTTCTTGTGGATAAGACTAGAGAAAGAGTTCAGGAAAAAACTTGAATTATGGATGTCTCATTGGAGTCTAAAAGCCTTCGTTTGAGTAGAGCTAAAACTGAATATATGGAATGTAATTTTAGTAGTAGTACCTATGTGTGATCAAATCATTAAAAGGTGTGAAAATTTTAGATATCTCGGTCTATTGTTCAAAATGATGGTGATATAGATGGGGGATGTTATTAGTAGAATTCAAGTACCACTTAAACTGAAAGAAAATTTTGGTAGGATGGTGGTGAGACCTGCAATGCTCTATGACACAGAATGTTGGCCTTTAAAAGAGAAGCTTAAAACAAATTTAAGTTTGCCGAAATGAGAATGCTTAGGTGGATGAGTGACCTGACACTTAAGAGACAAAATGTGAAATGAATATATCCCTGATAGGGTTGGTGTTGCTCCAGTAGCAGACAAAATTAGAAAGAGTCGTCTTAGATGGTTTGGTCACATT